GCCCGATTTTTTCGCTGCTAAAAATATATTGTATGTCCTATAATGGACTTTTTTTTAAGAATAATACAATATTATTATGCAGATGCATACCCTATTATATTATCTTTTAGTAATGAATCCCATCTTGCATTAGGGTCTGGTTGTCCAGCTAAATGAAAAACTGTATCAACACCTTCACATGCTTTTAGTAAAGTTTCCACTTTCTCCAATTCAGCTTCGATAACTTCACCATGTGATTTTAGTGGTTCGACTTCTTCTGGCGGATTCAAAGGATGTACCTGAACAAAACAAACTCAAATATAGATATAAAAATGTGCCATACAAACCATTAATCGAAGTTTATATTTCTGTTTATTAGCATTTTTAGTAAAATAACTACCAATTCTACCAGCTGCACCAGTAACGAGAATAAATCGAGGAGTATTTGTTGTCGTCGTCATATTGAAGTATAAAAAGACGAAAAGTGTTAATTAATCTTTAAGGTGTCGGCAAAGCAAAATTCAAGTGAAAATTTTTTTTTCGCGTTTTTTTACATCAGTTGATAGAGCGTGATCTGCTGATCATGAAAATCTACTTTTTAACCCCAGCAAATGCTTCCTTTCGGTCGAAAAATATGAAACACTCGAAATGTGTCGTTTTTCGAGAAAAACATATATTTTTCAAAATGTGCAAAATTCTCCATTTTGTTTCTTTTTTTGGCTTCTAAAAATAATTTTTCCAGATTCACCATCAAAAATTGAGTATAAAAATGTTATTAAAACGACTCCAAACCCAAAACTCTACTGGTGATGGCGCTTCGAATCGCGTTGAGTCCACTTGGTATAGGTCGATTCTATAAACCTATCTAGTTTCTCCACGTAAGTGATGAAGCCAGATATTTTATCTCATTCGACTCGTCATACCTCTAACCAAAAACTAATGCATCGCTTTTTTTTCTTTTCTTTCCTGTGTTGATAAAACTCGTTTTTACTGATACCATATCGATTTTAGGCGGTATTGAACGGTTTTCGATTTTAAATAAGACTTTTACTCACAAGCTAAGTACAAATACAGAATCAGCACAAAAAACTGAGTTAAATGACGTATCTTTCAAGTTAATTTGAGAACTTTCATTTTTTCTCATTTTTCTGGGTGTCGTCGTAGAACTGAAATTATTGTATACGGGTCAGAAAATTAACGTTATCAAATTAACTTGAAAGATACTTGATTTAACTCAGTTGTTTGTGCTGATTCTGAATTTGTACTTAGCTTGTGAGTAAAAGTCTTATTTAAAATCGAAAACC